CCAAAACTTAGGGTTGATGGCATTAATTTACAAGAATGGTATCAACAGCTCCAGGTTGTCTTTATGAAAGAAAATTTACTATTTTTTATCACTAGTCCCCCAAGAAGACCTTGGACTTTAAAAATAGATTGTTTACACCATAAGGCATTTTTCTTAATAATATCTAGCGTGTCTCCTGCAATGTATCATAGCATCAAACCAAATCTAACTGTTTCAGAAATAATTCAATGCATGTTTAATTTGTTTCACAGCGATAGTGTAGCTACCACCACAAGAATGTCTAAGGACTTCTTTTCTTCCAGAGTAAAACCAGGGGTTTCCATAAGTGAGCATTTAATATCTTTAAACAAAATAAGAGCTGAGCTGCATTTGAGGGGGGAAGTGATTTCAGATCAAACAATGAAAAGTGTTATTATCAACTCACTTGATTCATCATGGGATAGTTTTATGTCACACTTAGACACCATCAATCTAGGATATTTATCAATAGAAAGTCTGTCTAACAAATTGATAGCAGAAGACAATTCAAGAAAAAATCGTTATAGCAATCACACAGAACACAAATCTTTTAGGAAGGTAGCTTTCCAAGAAAAATATAATGAAACTTTTAAATGCCACAATTGTGGGTCCAGGGAACACAATAGAAGAGATTGTCCCAAAATTTCAAAGGAAAGACATAGGTCAGAATATAGGAATAAATACAATTATAGACAGTCTTCCACAGATAGACATAAATATAGAAGCCCACCAAATTACAGAGAAAGTAGAGGGGGCAGAGAAAATTCAAAAGAGAGAAAATCTGGTTCACTGAATGGACTAAATAAACAAGACAGCACTAAAACGCAACAAAATGAGAACAATAATTGGCTTATTGATTCTGGGGCAACTAATCACACCACTAATAACAAAAATATATTGTCTTCATTTACAGAAGATAAGTTTGTAATAAAGGTAGCTAATCAAGAAAAAGTTCAAGTATTAGGCAGAGGGAATGTGACCTTGCCTGGTCTAGGAAAAATAGAGGGGGTATTGTTAATACCAGAAATACCTCATAACATACTAAGTGCCATAAAACTAAGCAGAGATTCTGACATCAATATAGTTTTCTCAAAGGGAAAAGCAACTTTAGAGAAGAATAAAACAAATGTAGGCACTGTGATGATTAAAGGAGGCCTACCCTATCTGATAACAAAAGAAAGATGGTTACATAACATTGATTCAAATATGGAAGATTGTATTGAGGCAGATGATGAAAATATTAGTAACAGTGACAATGATGAATGTAAAGTATCTCATGATCACACAGATACACACAATGAGAAGAAACCAAAAATAGGTAAACCAATTCATGACGAGTGTGCTCATATCTTACATAGGAAGTTAGGACATGCAAGTTTTCCTGTAGTACAAAAAATGACTGAACACGCAGAAGGTGTCAAAATAAAAAATTGTGAAAATTATTTGGAATGCTCAGTATGTAAATCTACTAAACTAAAAACTAGTCCCAGGCCAAAAAAATCCACCAGATCAACTAACAAAATTTTTGACTTAGTACACATGGACTTAGTTGGCCCATTAACTCCATCAATCACTTATAGAAAACGTTACTTCCTAACAATAGTAGACGATTACAGTCGCTATGGTTTTGTTTACACATTAAAACACAAGGATGAAACCTTTCAAAAATTTAAGGAATTTTACAAACGCATAGAAACACAACATAATATCAGAATAAAACAAATTATGACAGATAGGGGATGTGAATTCATGTCTAAAGAATTCTCCCAATGGTTAAAGGATAGAGGAATGCTACATTACACGTCTAGTCCATTTTCTGCGTTCCAGAACGGGATTGCAGAGAGAAAGAATTCCACATTACAAACCATGATTAGGTGCACATTAGAGGATGCTGGTTTAGGCAAACAATTTTGGTCAGAAGCCCTACATTATTCAAATTACACTCAAAATAGAACCTGGTCCAGTATTGTGAATAAGACACCATATGAGGTGATGTATAATAGGAAACCAAAATTAGCACACATGCACATATTTGGGGTCACTGCAGACGTACACATACCTAAACAGTTGAGAAGAAAGGGAGAAAACGTATCCAGAAGACTAAGATTTATGGGATATGAAACTGGCACCAAAGGGTACAGATTCATTGATAATAATAACAAATTTATAGTTTCCAGAACAGCTGTGTTCCATGAACAGGCCAACTGGTCTAAATTACATCTTAATGAAATATTTCCAAATAAATGCAAAGATACCAAATCTCGTGAGGAAGGGACAATAGAAAATCAAAATGTCAACAAAAATAAAAACAAAACCAAAACATGGACAAATAGTCAACACAAAATAAAGACAGACACATTAACAAAAAAGGAAGCAAGATATTTGCATGACTACCATAGCAAACCAGAAAGAGCTATTAGGAACAACAGAAATCAAATACCAAATAAATACAGAGATTACATAATGCATATGGATGGTGAACAAATAACACCTAATACATATGAGGAAGTATTAAAACTCCCTCGTGAAGAAAAGGAAAAATGGGAACTAGCTATGAAAAAAGAGATGGAAAGTTTGCAAGGATTAAATGTATTCACACCTGCGATTGCACCTAAAGATAAAACAATTATTGGTACCAGGTGGATTTATAAAATTAAGAACCTAGAAGGAGGCAATACCTTATACAAAGCTAGATTGGTTGCACAAGGTTATGCACAAAAATATCCGGAGGACTATACTGACACGTACTCCCCCACAGTAAGAACAGAGAGTGTTAAAACAGCTCTAGTAGTAGCATCCGCACTCAATCTTGATGTATTTCAATATGACATACAGACTGCGTACCTACACGCAAAACTAGATAAGGAAATATATGTAAGAGCACCTCACAGTCAATACACTAATAAAAATGAAATTTGGCTATTGAACAAGAGTTTATACGGATTAAAGCAATCTGGCAAAAGATGGTACGATTGCTTGGTAAAAGTACTTAAGACCATGGATTTCAACGCTACCACTGCTGATAACTGTTTCTTTGTCAAAAAGAATGATGATCACATTGAATTTGTATTGATTTATGTAGATGATATTTTATATATAGGAAAACACAAAGAGAGAAGAGAAATCTTTGTAAACAAGCTAAATGAACATTTCTCGTTGAAATCTCTAGGTAAAGTAAACAAATACCTTGGTGTACAAATTAACAAAACTAGAAGGGGATTCAAACTTACTCAGAAAGATAAGATTATTGAACTTCTAAACAAATGCAGTTTAAACAATGCCAAACCCTGTGACACTCCTATGCAAACTGATTTCCTTAGAAATACTGATGAATCTTCCCCTGAATTCAAGGATAATACATTTTATAGATCAGTCATAGGTTCACTTCTTTATATATCTAATTGGACCAGGCCAGATATTGCATTACCACTCAATTTATTATCAAGGCACGTTAGCAAACCAAAAATGTATCACTGGGAAGCTGTCAAAAGAATTTTAAGATATCTGAAAAGTACATTAGACTTTTGCCTAGTATTAGAACCTAGTGATAATAAAGAACCAAAACTTACATGTTACGCAGATGCGGATTGGGCTGGAGATATATCATGCAGAAAAAGTACTTCTGGTTATATTTTTCTGTTAAATGACTGTCCAGTTTACTGGTACACTGGTAAACAAGAACTGGTAGCCACTTCAACCACAGAAGCGGAATATGTTTGTTTATCCAAAGCTGCAAATAACCTTGTATGGTTTAATGATTTAATTTCAGATGTTTGGAAAAAACCTGCTTTGCCTTTTATTATGCATGAAGACAATAAAGCGGCCATTGAAATATCTAGATCCGATGCCATTGGACAAAGATCCAGGCATATAGATATAAAATTTAAGCATGTGAGACAATTGTCTCAAGATGGATTTATCAAAGCAGTGCATTGTGATACCTCTGAACAATTAGCTGACATATTGACGAAGCCTTTACCTTCTAAACAGCACAAATATTTAACATCCAAATTGTATGTCTTATATTGTCCTGAATCTGAATGTAATTGGTGTTGTATAGCGAACCGGCATTTAGAGGGGGATTTGTCAGATGTAAATGCCTTATTCCCTAATGTGTAAATAATGTATATATGGGATATCAGGGGTTAACTTATTCTTTGACTCTTAATGTATTCATAATTCACCACTCCCACTCTTGACTCCACCCTTTGTATATATAAGGAGCCACCTTCACCATTTTCTTAGCTTCTATCTGTGAATATTCAGTGAATATAGAATGCCTATTATAATTAAAGAGAAATATATTTAAACCTCTAACTCTCATTATTGTTATTGAGTCTGATCCTAAAAATATTGCAACACAACTGTTGTCTCTCAAGGAGGATACTTGGCCAGCTTCATGCTTGATGTCTCCCACCTTGGCAGCTTTAAGACTTGTGGACTTCAACTCCCAGAATTCTCCACAATTCCCCAGAATGGGCTCGGCGGGAGTTGAAGTCCAAACGTTGTAAAAGAACCACAATTGCCCAGCCCTGGGCTAGGGTAGGCTGACGCAGCGCAGATGGGAAATGGGGCGGGGCGAGGGGCGGGCAAGCCAGCAATTTAACAAACGGTTCAGTGTGCTGCGAGGCCAATAAATTACAAAAAAAACACCGAACCATTTGTTAAATTACTGGCTCGCCCGGCCCTCGCCCCGCCCTGTCCCCACTATTTATTGGCAAGGGGCGGGGCGAACCAGCAATTTAACAACCGGTTCGGCCGAACCGGCTAGAACCGGCAGAATCCCACCACTGGTAATTTCCATCTCTGCCTCTGCTTTCCATTAGATCAGAATTCTCCAAATTTGGCAGTTTTAAAGAGTTGTAGACTTCAATTCCCAGAATTCCTCAGCTAGCTATACTGAGGGGGAGGGGAACTCTGGGAGTTGAAATTCACAACTCTTAAAGCTGCCAAGTTTGCAGGCCGTTACATTAGGTAACCAGGCACTCTGATTTTTCTTCAGAGCCTGTAAATATTTCACTTGTTACTAAATATTTCTGTAGAGAGGAACATTTATGAGTTTGTAACTAATTTTTTGAGGCTATTGTCATCTGATGAGAGCCAGGAAGCATGTCTTTTTTTGTGTCAGCCTCTGCCCATTGGAATTTTTTTAAAATTGAAGTTCAGCAGGCATCCCTTTCAGCCTTCCATAGGGCTCTGAGGGGTTGGCTTTTCCTCCAAGCACTGTCAGATTACTACAAAATTGCATATTAGAAAGGACTGGGGCCTGGTTTTTGTTGTTTTTTAAAGTTTTAATATTTTAATCATTTGAGTTTTAAGTTTTAAAATAGAATAGAATAGAATTCTTTATTGGCCAAGTGTGATTGGACACACAAGGAATTGTCTTTGGTGCATATGCTCTCAGTGTACATAAAAAGAGAAGATACATTTGTTAAGAATCATAAGGTACAACACTTAATGATAGTCATAGGGTACAAATAAGCAATCAAATCATACTAGGAAACAATATCAATATAAATGGTAAGGATACCAGCAACAAGGTTACAGTCATGCAGTCATAAGTGGGAGGAGATGGGTGATAGGAATGATGAGAAGATTAATAGTAATGCAGACTTAGTGAATAGTTTGACAGTGTTGAGGGAATTATTTGTTTAGCAAAGTGATGGCATTCAGGAAAAAAACCTGTTCTTGTGTCTAGTTGTTCTGGTGTGCAGTGCTGTATAGTGTCGTTTTGAGGGTAGGAGTTGAAACAATTTATGTCCAGGATGCGAGGGGTCTGTAAATATTTTTACAGCCCTCTTTTTGACTCGTGCAGTATACAGGTCCTCAATGGAAGGCAGGTTGATAGCAATGATGTTATGGGTCTCTTAATTTTTGATTGAGAGCTGCTCAGAGTTGGTTGAAAGATGGACAGTTATATAAATGTATTAAATAAATAAATGGACATTTTGCTTCTCATCCAAGAAGCTTCAGTTCTGACTGAATGGAGGGGAATGGAAGGATTTATGTTCCTTGAAGTCATCTGGTTGTTAGCACTCTTTCTGAGAGTAGTTGAGGCCATTTGGAGATAAACCTCCAAATGGCCTTAATGACTCTCAGAAAGAGTGCTAACAACCAGATGACTTCAAGGAATATAAATCCTTTCATTTCCCACCATTCAGTCAGAACTGAAGATGCTTCTTGGATGAGAAGCGAAATATCTTCAAAGGAAAAAAAAAGGAAGTCCAGTTGTCTCTTGAAAAAGCACCTTTGGGACAACCATGACCTGGATGACTGAAAATCTCCATAGACAAATAAATGAATGTATTTTCCCTGATTGCCTGTTTAGACTCTGCCTTCTTCCAGATGTGTGGAAAGCTGCCATGCTGGTTTCCTCAAGGTGGTCCAGAGAGGACAGCCAGTTTGCTGCTATGATTGTGTTCCTTGTGCGAAGGGGACCATCTCCACACAGAAAGGTGAGTGGTTCCTGAAAGGAAACAATTTTCTTGCACAAAATTGCAAACATTTGAATGTGCTCAGTGGTATTTTTAAGTATGCATCCCATATTTATTTCATTTTTAAAATTCACAATTTGCTGCTTAATATAAACAATAATAAAGGAAGTGGAGTAATGATCCCGGGCTTTGTGTTATGATGCCGTGTTTCAGCAATCTACATGCAACCTTTGCTCCTTAGCTAGAACAGGAATGTTAAACCTATTGTGAAAAGCATTTTTAATAGAGAAAATATTTTACAATCCAATTACGTTTTTTAATAGCAATAGCAGCAGCACTTAGACTTATATACCGCTTCACAGTGCTTTACAGCCCTCTCTAAGCAGTTTACAGAGTCAGCATATTGCCCCCCCCCAACAATCTGGGTCCTCATTTTACCCACCTCAGAAGGATGGAAGGCTGAGTCAACCTTGAGCCTGGTGAGATTTGAATTGCCAAATTGCAGGCAGCCAGCAGTCAGCAGAAGTAGCCTGCAATACTGCACTCTAACCAGTGCACCACCGTAGCTCATAATGCTCTCTAAATAAACATTTTTCTCTTCAACCATCTTGTCTTGATGTCATTCTAATTTGTTCTTGTGCAACCCTGGTGATTGGGACCCCAAAAATACTTTTGACACTGTTAGGACTTTTCAACCGTTTCAAAGAGAAAGAATGAAAGATAAATGCAGCACTTGCCTCCAACTCATTAAAGCAGTCTTTTTTCAAGTTGGCAATTGACTAGGGTAGGGGTCTGCAACCTTAAACACTCAAAGAGCCATTTGGACCCATTTCCCACAGAAAAGAAAACACTGGGAGCCACAAAACCCTTCCCGTGCCTATTTCTTCAGCAGCCGCAAAACTAGCATATGTAGTTGAATTAAATGTTCTGTTTTCTTCTGAAACTTTTATTTTCTTGGATTTATCCATTGTTGGCCTACCGGGGGTTGAAAAGTTCAATAAATTGTGTGCCAGAGGGTTTGCACATTGGCAGTTGTGGTACATATTTTGAGAAACAGGGAGCCACAGCAGAGGGGTAAAAGAGCCACATGTGGCTCCAGAGCTGCAGGTTGCTGACCCCTGGACTAGAGAATGCTGAGGGTATACTCCTTGCAACAGTTGGTCATTTGCATTCATTCAGGTCACCTGGAGGTTTATCGGTGTCATCAGGATCACCTGAGTGGTGCAAATTGGTGTGGAGCCTTCTTGGAACTGTTGAAAGGACTGTGTTGTAGATTGGAGATAGATGACATCATATCCCTCCCCCTTTGTTGAGAGAGGGCTGTTCAGTTCTAACATAGATGGCCTCTTTAAATTACCAGTTATCTGCAAGGAGTATAAATCCTTCCATTCCCCACCATCCAGTCAGAACTGAAGAAGCTTCTTCGATGAGAAGCAAAACGTCTTCAAAGAAAAACCAAAAAGTCCAGTTGCCTCTTGAAAAAAGCACCTTTGGGACAACCATGAATTGTATGACTGCGAATTTCCATAGACATTTAGTCCATCTGAGTTATCTTGGTTGAAAATGTTTTGCCCTATGCTGAACCATTTTGCCTAATTAAACGTAATGTGAATCAGGGTTTTAGTAATATATAGGTTTTTTTTTTTTTTAAAAAGAGATCAAACAAAAGCATTTTCCCACAGGAAGGATTCTTTATAATTAATTCCGAAAACATATTTCAAGTTTTTTTTATATATTATAAGGGATTATAAGGGATTTCTTTCATTTTCCTTAAGAGAAGCAATTGTCTGGAGCACTTGTGGATGATCTCCTATCTTTGTCCAGAGAGCAATTATTGGAGAGCCTGTCTATTAACAAGGGTTTCATTCTGCCTATAATTGTCAAATTGCTCTTTTTTTCTGCACCTTTTATTTTTATGCTTTTTTTTAGTTTGTATTGGTTTATATTGGTTTATGGTTTATATTGCTTAGATTGCAATTATTAATAAAATTATTATTTTAATAATGATGAATAAAGGAGATATTCCTTTTCTCTGCAGATGCAGTCCATTGCACCAGATGTTTCGAAGATCAGCATCCAAATGAACACCAAAATCGCTGTCTTCCAAAATATATAACCTTCTTGTCATATAAAGAATATTTGGGGATCATCCTGGCTTCCTTTGCTCTATTTTTGTCATTCATCACAACCTTTGTATTAGCAATTTTCATAAAATATCATGAAACTCCAATAGTTAAAGCCAACAATCGGGATCTTTCCTACATTCTCCTTACCGCACTCCTCCTTTCATTTCTCACCAGCTTCCTCTTCATTGGCAGGCCAAGGAAATCTACCTGCCTTCTCCGACAAACAGCCTTTATTATCATTTTCTCAGTGGCCGTCTCCTCTCTCTTGGCCAAAACCATCACAGTGGTGCTGGCTTTCTTGGCAACAAAGCCAGGGAACAGAATGAGGAGGTGGCTTGGGAAGGCTTTAACTAATGCTCTTGTTCTTGCTTGCTCTACAGTACAAGTTCTTATTTGCTCCATCTGGCTGGGAATCTTTCCTCCCTTCCCTGACACAGATAAACATTCCCATCCTGAAGAGATTGTCCTGCAGTGCAATGAAGGACCTGCTGTCATGTTTTACTGTGCCCTTAGCTATATGGGCTTCCTGGCTGTCGTCTGCTTCACAGTAGCTTTCCTGGCCAGAAGGCTGCCTGGGGCCTTCAACGAAGCCAAGATGATCACCTTCAGCATGCTGGTTTTCTGCAGCGTTTGGGTTTCCTTTGTGCCCACCTACCTGAGCACCAAGGGCAAATACATGGTGGCCGTGCAGATCTTCTCCATTTTAGCCTCCAGTGCTGGGTTGCTGGGCTGCATCTTTTCCCCCAAGTGCTACATTATTTTGCTGAGACCAGAGCTGAATACAAAGGAGCAGCTAACCACACAGATCAAAGTATAGCTCTCATTGTGTTTCCGTGGGCAAGCCCCAAAACAGATAATTGCCCTTTTCTCTCAACCTCTGAATGCTCCAGGGTTTTGCGTCAAGATAATTATGGATGCTTGTAAGTAAATAATGTACCTTCATTAAAAGAGTTATGTAGGACTTTATCTATGGATCTGTCAACATATAAGATAGTTTTGTTCTTTTTTCTCTTCCTTTTTTTCTTTGTTCCCTGATAACTTTGTGCATTCTTCATTTGTGTTCTCTTCTTAACAATTTTTAAACTTGCATTTAATAAAAGGAAACAAGATATTCAAACTCATATTGTTTGCCTGAGTTATGAGGGCAACCTGGTTACATCTGCAACTTATCCTAAAAGCCAGGCTACTCACTTTTCATCTCTCTCTCTCTTTCTCTCTCTCTCTCTCTCTCTCTCTCTCTCTCTCTCTCTGTGTGTGTGTGTGTGTGTGTGTGTGTGTGTGTGTCTCTCTCTCTCTCTCTGTGTGTGTTAATCAAATTTGTATAGCCATTCATCTGACAAATAGGGACTGGATTGGGTTGAAACACACCAGAGAAACCCAATACATTAACCTTGGAGCTCATTTAAGTCATAATCAAGAGTGAATTTGCACAACTGGTTGCACACCAATTGCAGCCTTTCCAAGATCAAGGAGCAGTACACACAGTCACTCCTGCTTAGATCACCTCCTAGATCGGGTGCTGCAATGCACTTCAAGAGGTTG